TTAATGGAATGTAAAACATTACGGCCTACTTCAGCTTAAATCATTTAAAAAACAGAAGAAGCTGATACTGATATTACGGAGGAGTCAAAGGGAAAGAACTAGCATTACTTATGTACCATTCACTTTATATATGGGATCTAATTTACCCCCCCCTTTTTAATAAATGAGGCCGGCAGGGGCAAAGTCTCCTTAAGGAGAGATGACACTCGAACTGTGTGTAGTCTGCCTAACCCCATAACCAGAGCGTATTTTCCACTGGTGACACTGCTTACTAACTCTTCCAAGGGTTTACTAAAAAATTATGTGAAGAGTAATCTTCAATTTTCATGGAAGAGCCAAGATTACTTTCATGCACCTGTGTTTCAACCTTTGTGTTAGCTATATATGACCTGAACCATTATTTACTCAGTTTTTTTTTATATGGATTCATTTTTAACTCAAAATCTACAGGAATTTTAATATTATCATTAAAATGTAACACAATGTGTCTGCCAGACACAGAAAATATAGAGAAATAATTATCAAAAGCTCTAAGTACACCTGCTGCTAGGAAGCTCTCCGCACCACTAGCTAAGCATCCTGGGGTAGTCGGGTGGGGTTGGGAGTTGGGAAGACTTGCCTATACAGAATCAGGAAGCCAGGAAGCTCCTGGCATGGCAGAGGCCTTCAGCAGTTCCTGACACAATATCTTGTCATTTCCTTTCCATGTTCAGACATCACAGAGATTTGGAATTGGGGGAAGAGATGCAGCTTGAGAGAAGATGAAGGAGTATCTCCAATGCCGTCAGAACTTTGTAGTTGCAGCTTAGAGTACCTTTACTCAAGGGTGCTAATTTAGGCAAAAGTGCTAGTGGAATAGAACAACAAAATGTACCTTTACTATCACAGCAATTTTCCACTCTTTTTAGTAATACTAAGATATACATGAACTTGTTCTAAAGCTGCAGAGTGTTAGAAGCTAAACTTGACATCTCAGTATTTCATTGAGTCCATAAATTAACAAATGTGACATTTAGGGCTGGGGATTTAGCTCAGCGGCACAGCACCTGCCTGGCAAGCGCGAGGTTGCGAGTTCGATTCCCGGTACCGGAAAAAAAAAACCGAAACCAAAACAAAACAAATGTGACATTTAAAAATTATTAAATATTATAAAATTTTTATAAAGAAACAAAATCTCAGAGGTAACAGCTGGCACTTTAAAAGCATTTCTGTATCTGTCAGATTGTAAATTCCAGAAAAGCAAGCATTTGTCTAATCCTTGTTTTTTGCTAGGGCCTAGTACAGTATATGATGTAATAATTTGTGTTGGAATATTCCAAAATGAATTCATTTCTCTCAAGACATTGGACTCAGGTTTACCCAGTGTTTCATTTTATGAAGAAATGACTTTCACAGATAACCATTTGTTATGAATGACCTGATCTTTAACAATGTAAAGATACCCAGAAGTTAACTGAACTCTGGCTTATTAACAAGTTTGTTCAATGTTCCTGTGGATGAATTTTATTTTCATGCAATCCCACTTTTGGTAGAACATGAGTATTTTCTTAACATGTGAATATTGAATGAATGTTTTTTTCCATGGATGATGCACTGTTAAACCTTAGCAACTTTTCAAAACACTCACACCCACCCACTCCACAGTCACCTTATTAACTCTAAAGACTCACTGAAGCACCTGAATAGGTGTTCCTGAAATACACTATATAGCTGAACATTCAAAACTGAAGGCAAATGAACAATAAATATAGTCTTGATAATCTGAAGGCACAGATACCTAATTACAGGCAGAGACAGTTCTACAGAAAGGGCCTTGATAAACCTTTGGTACAGAAAAGAATGCACACTGAATACCTACGCACATAGAACTTTGTATTATTCAGTGCTCACAGTAACCCAAGAAACTGGGAGGAAACCAAAGACCACGGAGGTTAAATACTTTTCCAGGACCACCCAGCTTGTAAATAGCAGAGTTGGGACTTGAAATCAGGCCTGTGTGACTTCAAAGACTATTATTTTCTCCTTATCACTGCCTCTATGGTTAATGGAAATGTTCAAAATAATAATTTAGGGGCTGAGGACATAGTGCTCAATGATAGAGCACTCTCCTCGCATATGTGAAGCTCTAGGTTTGATCTCAGGCACGGGAAAACAAAATAATCTCTTCAACATCTTGGACACTGGCAAGTTCATTTCATCCACATACAAATATCAATAAAAGCTGGAGCTTTGTACAATAAGGAAGTTGTACCTCATTATATAACTGACACCAAATGAGGACTGACTGGTAAGTAGTGGGAAGCCTAAAAGCTGTGGTACAGTGGGTTCCAGAAGGGCATTTCTAACATGGGAATGCTCTAAGGTTCACTGAAGTGTAGCTTGAAGGGCTGTTGCTAGGATGGCCAGCCTCACCTCTTCCAGCTGAACAGGTCCAGCCAATGCTCTGCACCGTTTTTGTGAAAAGCAGTGTCATAAATACAACAGACCACCTGAATAGTGCTAGATGGCAACCAGAAGGCAGAATTCCCGTGCAGAATGTGGACTGAGCGTTTGCACAAGGGACTTCTTGTACACACACAGGCAAAATCCAAAATCACTTCCCTATCGCTGATTTGTTGTAAGTAGGAGAGCAATCTGCTTTATTATGTATTTAATGTTTTGCTACTTCATTATATTAGGCTTATTTTGTGTTTCTGGTGGTACTGGGAGTGCAAAGATGAATGTTATTGTCAACAAATTTAGAATACTGTGTAGGAGACAGAGGAAAGTTTGTGTAACAATACAAATCAAAGTGAGGCCTGTGTTGTAAGGGTGCATTTTCCTTGTTTTCTTATGTTTGTACATATCCTAAAGAAAAATTTAGCTTATTATTTAATATATTAGCATATCAACTGATTATATGACATTTTCTTACAATCCTGTCTGTATATTGTTATTTTCTTCATTGCAAATGCAGAGGTGTGGTAATGCATGCCTGTAATCCCAGCATTTTGGGAAGCTGAGGAAGAAGGATCACAAGTTTAATGAGCCAGCTTGGGCAAGGCAGTGACTGAGACCCTCTGTCTCAAAATAAAACATAAAAGAGGGCAGGGCATGTAGCTTAGTGCAGAGGCCCTACATTTAACCCTCAGTCAGTACCACAAAACATACACAGGTGAATGTCATACTACAACATATGAACCTATTTAAAATCAATGAGGTAAAGGGCAGAGGCAGGGTTTTTGTATTGTGCCACTACATTAAATATAGTGCTTTCTTTAGAACATAAGATATCCTACACTGTACAGTATATCCACACCCCAAATGGTTGAGAGAAAAAGCATTCTCTTGCATAGATATACTTATTCATCTGTCTATTCTTCAGTTCTATCACTGTTTTCTGGAACTGTTTGCTGCAAAGACCTAGAGATAAATGCTGTGAGATGCTCTGAGATGCTCTTTCTCCTGCCTGTGGCAAACCTCAACTATCAGCTCTGGGGAGTTTCTGTAGACTTCTACGTAGTCTTCTGTATTATAATGTCAGCATACTGCAGAATATATGGTTCAAATTCTAAGGCTATTTTTTGTCTTTGTGTATAGTTCTATAATGACACATAACAGGAGCACAAGACATATTTAACATATGAGTTTGTACTGAATAAATTGAGCAAGGTCTCCATTTCAACCAGATCACTCAGCAGTTTTTATGTTGTCATCTAGGCAGTCACTATTAAATACAGTGAAAGGCAAGTGCTACTTTAATATGTATGAGGGGAAATGGGCACAAGGCTAGTGATAATCACATTGAAATGTTCTTAGGGCTGGGGGTACAGCTCAGTGTTACGGGTATATGCTTGGAATTCGCAAGGCCTTAGGTTCAATGCCCAGCACACACATACACACAACCCTTCTGACATTAGTTAACAAAGTCTGAACATTACCAGTATGTTACCACTTCTGGTTATTGCATTGGCAAAAGCTGAGTTAGAGGATGGGCATTTGACTTTTTAAGATTCGTAAGATTTTTTTCAAATTATGGATGAAGAAAGAGCTTTTGCTACTGATTCTGGACTTCAAAGTAAAAAAAAATATAGTGATACCTCAATTCACAAATTTGTGTTACAATTTGGGGGATGATGGCTGCAGTTGTTTGTCATCCAATTGGAATTTGTGAACAGAAGAAAATTTTACCGAACACTTGTCTGAGACCTGAGTTGTGAACAGAAGAGTTCCTAAACCAAGGCATTACTGTACTATACTTTCTAAACAGTGTTACATAAATGGTAGATAATATGTTTTCAAGTGCTTATAGAATGGCTAATCTTTGCTAATTGAGATAGGAAGACTTTTAGGCTAAAATAAACAATTTGTTTTGTTGGTAAATTAGAGAATTCTTCAAAAATTAGTCAGTCCATAAAGAATTGATGAGTATCTTCTTGATTGCAGATATCAAGTAAAATATAGTAGTTTAACCCCTGGTAAATATTATACATCTAGTTCTAAAATGTAAGTGACTAAAACTGTTCACTTCATAGTTTCTCGATTTTTATCACTTCCCATTTCACCAGTACAACCACTACTTATTAAACTTTTAAATATCCAGTTGGCATGCCTGATATCTAGTAACTATCTTTTCCAGTCTCAATTTAATCTGCATGAGGTAGTTCAAAATCATTGTACCCCTTAAAACTTACCACACTTGTCAGGAGATACCTTTCCAATGCATATATTATATACTCAAATGGCAACCCATGACGGTAAATTCACAGTTATTTTCATTTTTGGTTATTTTTAGTGTATTAAGAAGCAAGATTATTTCTTATGTATTATAGTTTCTGGGAGGAAAGCCATGCAAAGGATTTGGAATTAGTTGGAAGCTGTATTCAACTGAATGAGTTTTTCTTTAGTTGGCATATTTTCTAAAAGAAAAAAACTTTAAAAGAAAATGCAGTATTCAGTGTGAAACAAGTATTTTGAAAACAGCTGAGAAAACTGTTAAAGTTATTAATTTTCCTAAAATGTACAAATGACTCATTTTTATTATCACTCATGCACTGTAATAGTTTGGAGAGCAGCAGGTTGAAGATGCAACAAATACTCTTTGAACACTTCAATAAACACAATGTAAACATTCACTTTAATAATGTTTCCTTTGTCAGTGCAAATCTGAGCACATTTTTCCCTGGCCTCTGGCTGAGCCATGACTAGCTGAGTAGCAACAGCAGAGTGCTGAAAGAATTTCTCAACAGTAATTTGCTTGTTCTAATTTACTTTTCAAGGTTGATGATCAGAATCATTACACTGCTTGCACAAAGATCTATTTCCATGAATCTGATCCAGTCATTCCTCATATTCTTCTCATATTTAGTTTCCCCAGAGGCTTCACCAAATACATTAATTGAATAAGAAGTGCCACTACACTCCAGGTCTATAGTTTCGTATACAAATGAACTCCTTTATCCTTTAGGAACAAATCTGCTACACCTGTTGAGAATGTAGGGCTGCACTAAAATAGACAACCATTCTTGTCTATTTCCATACGGTGACTAATATAGGTGGTCTTCTGCTTCAAGTAGAAATACTCTAATAGTAGATCTATGCAACAATACCAAAGCATTATCTAATCAATCCTTTAAAAAATTACATCACTCAAGAACAGAAGCCTCCTGTGATTTTTAATTTTCCATCTCATGTAATATTACATGATTTACATGATATATGTTGAAAAAGCAAGACTTATTTCAAATGCACACTATAACAAAAATGTAATAGGATGTAATCAAGCTAGCCTCAAAATCTTCAATGAATTTCAAGATAGGTAAATGTTTTCTCAATCTACTCTCAGAATTTGCAATAAATGTCAAAGTAACTACATGTTTTTCCAATCTTTTTGTGAATCTCTGCTTCTACAAACCCAAGATTTAAAGGGCTCCAGCTAAGTGATCTAAAAATTCACTAGCCTTACATTCTTCATATTAAACACAGTAATAAAAACCAGTAGAAAAAGGAAACTCCTATTCAATCACTGGCAAATAATGTAAATAAATTGGATCACACAGATTAAAAGCAAGCTCTGCTTTTAAAAGAAAAATGTAGTAAGGTTTAAAAGTCATTTTCTCTTTATAACCTGTAGAGGGCACCCAAGTCCTTGCAAAAGGTAAAAAGTTTTGACGTTTAATTTTCCATCATCATCACCATCTCGTTAGTGTTTACTAAACAGTCACCCCTCCTCCTGAATTATCATTTAAAAGAGGTCATTTAGGCTGGGGAATGTCTGTGCTACAGCCCTTGTGTATGAGTGAGGCCTTGTGTTCAATCCCCAGTACTGTGAGGGGAAAAAAAAGACATACTAAGGAACAGTTAGAAATGTTCAATGCATTCTAGATATGTAGATTTTCACTTCCTACTGAAAAACTATCAGCAGGTGGTTTCCAGTGCTGGGCATTTAGCAATCTGTAAATTCATAGAGTAGCTGAGTCCTTAGAGAAATCAACTTGGACCTCAGAATAACAGGTTTACAAGGCAGGAAATGGCATTATCATGACGCCACTGAACTTCTCCAGAATGTATATGGAAAACAGTGTTCTATTTGGTGATGAAAATTAGAAGCTAACCGAAAAGCCTTTGGCTTTTGAAGAGTTTTAACCATTTTGTAAGACTAGGCTCATTGAGACCCTGGGCAGTGTTCACTTTAATGAGTCTCATTATTATTATTAGTATTTGGAGGGAAGATACCTGATTGTAAATATCCTTCCTCTGGCTTGATGCTGAAATGTTTCACAGGAAATGACATACCAGCATCATATACATTACATCCACACATACATACACATGTATGCTGTGCAAAAATATACTCTATAATGTCATATTTTAAAATGTACTGTGGCATTTTATTTTTTACTGCATGAGTAATTACTGAAACATGTTTCTTAGCAACACATACATATGATCATGCCCTCCTACTCTTCTGTATACATATTTTTTGATCCTCAATTTTGCTATGGCTAAGTAATTTACTATTTAAAGACACCTGGAAATGGATTATTAAATGGAAACTAGAGGAGGCTGATTTGGCACAAACTTAGATACATGCTTCTTAGAGACACTGTTTCAATTTATAAATCAGACCACAAAAGGATCGAGTCAAAAAAGTAATAGAAATGATCTTGCAAATCACCACTAGGATGAGCAACTATGAAACAGTTTACCAAAATGTGTTGCCTGTAAAATTTATCACTAATAAAAATTTATTTATTTATTTTTGAGATGGTGTCTCATTATCATGCCCAGACTGGTTTGGAATTCCTGGGCTCAAGTGATCCTGCCTCAGTTTACCTAGTGCTTGGGATTAGAAGTGTTACCAGGTCTTGGTTAAATATAATCTTAGAAACAACTTTTACTGTACATAATTATAGGTATCTGTGTATATATTTTAAAGGTCTGGAATTATATTTGAAGAATAAATCTCCAAACTTGGACATCTTGCAAAATAAGTAGATTGATATTGTTAACATATTTAAAAAGTCCTATTTTTTTTCTCACAGTTCCACAGAATACTTCAAAGTTTAAATACATAGAAGAGGCATCCAGATAAAGAAGAAAATGGGAAAAGAACACTTAAAATAATTTCTTTAAACTATTTTGGTAATGATACTTTATGGCAAAATCTTCTTTCGGAAAATGAATGCAATTATTATTTTAATGGAAATATAACAAGCTCTGTGTCCTCAAGAAAGGAGAAGTTAATAAGCAAAGCTTTGAAATCAGAAGTCTTGCGATGAATAACTGTGTATTACAACATTTTCCCTAACTGGATTTCTTTACCCCATAGCATGACATTTACTAATGATGGTGATGGGATGTAAGAAGAAACTATGTAGTTTAATAATAAAACAGAAGCATGTTCTCAACCTAAACTGTAGCTGCGCCTTTGATTTTTCGGTTATTGGAGGGCCAATAAGCATATATTCTAGCACAGAAAACAAAATGGGAGGCTATACTTGGAACGTAGTCTTTGTTTCTTCCTTTTTCAAAGCCTGTGTTTCCTTATATCATTGTTAGGCAAAGCAAAAAGAAATGTTTGTTCTATTACGTAAGAAATAAACTTCATTTGGTATTCAATTGACTTTCTAACTTAGCAGACAAGACTTTACATTTTCAAATACTGAAAATAAATTGCATTCCTGGCCCTTGCTTTAAAAGGTTATAGAGAATAAATGCACACCCTGGTAGTGTTCTAGTGATCTCCCTAATCTCAGTTGCACTTTGTCAGAATGAGGTAACTGGTAGTTAAGTGAAATACCCTAGATCAAAGGGGGATTAATCACCAACTGAATCCTTGCTGAATAAGCCTGTCATTCAAGAAAATTATTTCCACTGAACTTAGCAGAGGATTGAAGGTCTTTGCATAACAGGGACCAACATACTTCAGCCAGGTTAGAAGGTTCAGAACTCATCCCATGTTTAGCTTTTTGCCTCCTTTTCCTTTCAGCAGCCTGGCACAATGGTTTCTAATCTGATAATACAGCTAACTATCTAAATGATGTCAGAACAGGAAAGTTGCAAAGCTTGGATGAGGGATGGATCAATTTCACTTTCAGTAACTCCTAAATCTGATTTGTTGGAATTTAAGATGTAATCCTAAACAAGTCCCTTAAACCTGAGGACTGTTTATTAACATCCCTTTTTTGACCTTTGTTTTATGAACAACTACTGTGCCATAGCAGCAGTCTCTGCAGAGGTTTTGATGATAATTCCACCTATGCACTTCCTATGGGTAGTAATATAAGAATCAATCAATGTCTGTTTAAATACTGTAAGAAAAACTACAAGAAAAATATTAGCAGGTGTTATATGTACAAAATGTCTTCTGGAAAAGATCTTAAGTCAAACATTGTATAAAACCATAATGATTTTAAAACAAAAATATTGAGTTAGCATAAAAAATTATGAGACTGTTTAACAGAAATAAATTTTAAACAGTTCTCCTAAGAATTTCTGACAAGACTATTTACACTTCAAACCTGAGACTGAGGTAATTACTCAAGAAGTCTAAAATATCACAGTAACCGTAGTGCCTACTATATTGCTGGCTTTAAAAAGTTGTGAACTATCTTTTCTGGAGCTCATTCTCAGAAATTTAACTTTTTCTTTCTGCCCTTTGGATTTAGGGAAGAATAATTACCCTTATGATAGACATCAGATTTCATAATCATATTTTGGCACCAAAGAGAGTTTAGCAATTTTGCATCTAGAGCAGGTCTGACACCATCCATGTCTTTCACTGCAAGTAGTTGCTCATATTCACTGCAAACGCAAAGCATCTTTCAAGTTTAAAAATGCAAAGAATAGTTATCAAAGAAAATGAATAAAATCCATAGTGAGATAATTTTTTAGAAAATGATTGAAGTTTTAACCCAAGAAAGGACTCTTAGAGTGTCTTATAGCTTAGAATAAGAACATGTCAATCACGATTAAGCTTCTGGAATCGGAATCCCTTTGAAATGCAGCTGTTTCTTCTTTAATTGTGGCAGCAGACTCTGAAGAAAAGAAAGGTCCAGCCTTAAAGATGAGTAAGGAATACAAAATAGCTCAGGATTAGTTGTGGAGTTCAAAGGTCGCTAATTACACTAAGGAGTTCCCAGACGCAGGGAAAACATTAAACAGGTCACCTACCAAACGGGAAACAGACTTTGTCTTCAGAAATTATCCTGAAGTGACAGGTTTCTAGACAAAATCAAAAGCATCGCAGTGTGCCCAGCTGACCTCACTGGGATAGAAACAGAAGTTGGTTTAGTTCTGCAGTGTGATGTTAGGATGGAAGGGCAACAGATGGCCCTAGGTTCCCCGCCACCCCTATGCTGTCTAGTCCTCCCTAGACTTCCTCTGGCTTCTAGAAATGCCAAATCAAAGTTTGCTGGTTTTGCTAATTTGCTTATGTAGAAGTTTTGTCTCAGGGATTATATTGAGCCTCTCCTTACTCCACATAAATACCTCTCGCCTACTGCAGTGCTCTTTGCTAAGCATTGTACACTCAGGATCACCAAACGGTTCTATTAATGATAACATAAGGAAATGTTAAGCTTTCTTTGAGTTGAAGAGATAAATAACTTATGGGGGATGGTATTTTCTTTCACTCACCCCAAATAAAGTTTTTACTACTGATTATCTACAATTAAGCTAGAAAAGCAAGTTGAAGTCCTGGTCAGGCAGTTATTCTCTTTTCTTTAATATGTGGTATAATTCTGAACATAAAACCTTATGCTTTGATAATGATTTGCAGAAAATGAGTTTACAATGAGTAGGACTGACCTTAATTAAAAAGTCTTACTTCAAATCCTAAGTTTATATGCAGTATCCCTTCAAACTATTATGGATCTTTTTTGAGGAGTTAGCAGCTTTTTCTAAGCGTTTCCTTAGGAGACTCATTAAAAAAACAACCTAAGACATAACTGAGTTTGGAATATTAATCTGTACTGCATATTTTTTATAATGGTTCTAATTCTGTTCTGTATGAAGAACTTTGACATGAATTAAGTTCTGAGGATCTTGAGACTTTTTTTGGCCACTTAAACTCCAACTTGACAATGAACTGCTCTGAAAACAGAACATGGGATAGAAACAAGTTGGTTTAGTTCTGTACGTGTAACTGTAACTGTAGAAACAAGTGGAGAATAAAGGATATGACTGGGTGGTTTCTAAAGGAATTAAAAGATGGTAATAAGGAATACGAGCAATAAATTTAAAGAAAATATGCCAAATAAGACTAAAAGTAAGCCTCTATACTCACACAAAGGCTTTTTGAATTTTTAATATGAATCCATTCATTAATGGGTTTTAATTTAGTAAAACATGGAAAAAGCAATAATTATACTTAAATTTATCTTTAAAAACTTGGCTGCAGACATGAAATGATCACAGAACACCTCTTACATCTTCAGAGTATTCCATCTGTCTTAGCATGCCTGATGACATCCCAAGCAACCAGTTATTTTGGCAGATTCACAAGCTTACTAACAAGAGGCTGTAGAACTGAGACAAGTACTAACTTAAATAGAATTACGCAGATTCTTTATTAGTCAGTAGGCTAGAAGTGTTAAAGAACAAGTTACTATTAAAGTAATTTGCCTTTTTCTCTGTTAACTGGTTTTTTTTTTTTTTTTTTTTTCCCCAAGAAATTTTATAGTTGTTTCTCACTTGGTTTCTGGTATTCTGTAACAGCGCATTGTACCAAGGGCTTAGGACTCAGGTTTAGAACCTTGCATCCCAGCTACAATCCACTGGAATGGCTGCCTGAAGTTCTGCACTGAGAATAAGCCCAGATTTTTACTCAGAAAGGCTCAGTGTTGAAAAGCTGTGAATGATTAACAATGTCTGCCAGAGGTGGAGGAAGGAGTATTACGATGTGCTGACCAAAGACTAGTCTAAAATGTGCTAGAATGAATCACACTTTTCTACATTCTGAATCATACTGACATAAAATCAAAGATAACAAAACTGAAGACATCAGCTTTTAAAATATTCTTTCAAACTACTATACCAGACTAAGAACAGTAAATATGAGTACTTTTTTAATTAAATCACTCATTTTTTTACTCACAGATTATATGAATATAAATTAGAAATAAAAGATTGTATTCCATGTAAGCTATGTTACTGTAATATAAACTCACTCACTCACTCACTCTATCAATCAATCACTGCATGCAGTTCTAGGGATTAGACTCAGGGCCTTTGCACTGAGCTGCATCCCCAGTCCTTTAACTTGAGACTGGTTCTTGCTCAGTCACTAAGTTACTCAGGATGGGCTTGAACTTACAATTTTCCTGCCTCAGTCTCTCAGAATGCTGAGACTACATGCATTCACCATCACACCAGGCTAATAAATTCTATTTAAACATGAGAAAATCACAATAATAATGATCCATATGTTACTGGAGCAGGGGCTTTAGAATTCCAGATGTAATAATCAGATGAAATTAGTTTCCGATCTGAAAGAAGAAAAAGAATTAATGATGCACCTATTTTATCTTACCAAAAATTCAACAAGAGAGCAAAGTCATAATTTTTAAAAATTTATTTTTAAGTATTCGTTTTAATTTTATTTTATCAAGGCTTTAACTTTTATTACTTAAAAAAAAGAGCTCATTAAATATTTGAATAATCCATCTTTGAACTTATATGAAACATTCTCTACTTAAGGCAAGTCTGTTATTTTTTTCCTTATATCTCCCTCAATTTTATTTCTTACTGGCTAATACTTTTTTAAAATTTTTTAAATTTTTTCTGAACATTGACAAGTGGGGCTGGGGATTTAGCTCAGTGGCACAGCGCCTGCCTAGCAAGCATGAGGTCGTGAGTTTGATTCCCGGTACCGGAAAAAACAAAAAACAAAACAACAACAACAACATAAAACCAAACATTGACAAGCTTTATTGTGGGGGAAGTTTCCTGTCAATGTCTGGCTAATACTTTAATTGCAAAAATATCCAGAAGTTCCTTGTTGGTTCTCTTTCTGTAAACTTTCAGAAGTATCTGATTCTGGTCTTGCTGTTACTCATTCAAAGTGGATTAAAAAAAAAAAAAGTAAGTATATTACTGATGTATTATAAAGCAGATATATATTACTAAAACTTCCCATTCTGTATTGTTTTCTGAAAATTACAATATGTTTACTTAATACTTACAAAATGCCTAAAACTACTGTAGTTACTACTGAAAGAGACAACATATTTCCCATATATAATGCTAAATACTGGTCTGTTTGCATTTTGATAGAAAAACCGTCTATTCAATACTATGCTTTCATTATAAAAAATAAAAAAACAAATGTACCCTAATACTTTCATGACTTCATTTAAACAAACAAACAAAAAATCTGATGTAAGAGAAAACCTGGGAGGGTAAAGAATACTGGCTTATTCTGATGATATTACATGGAATTTATTACTGCCACTCACAAGAAACTGCTTAGAGTATATACAGATATTTCTCATTTAATGACCAAGTTATTATGGTCCTGCAACTAGGTTGTTAAATGAGGAACTGTATACAGTATGTACATTACAATATCCAGAACAAAGAAATGGTCAAAGGAAATTCCAACTTAGTGACTTTGCTTTTATTTGGATAACTCTTACATGCAGTACTGTAATATATAACAATCCAAAACTATAGTACTGTACTATACAATCAGCAAGAATCACAGTACTATGTTGTACTATACTGTAGAAGAAGCCACCATAGGCTGCACTGCTGCTTACGTTTCTGTATTGTAAGCCCAAATGCAGGTCATAAGTCTGAGTGGTGGGTGGTAAGTCTGAACAGTCATAATCAAACAGATAGGTTGTTACACAAGGAATATCCACAACACTATTATTTCCACTTTATAAATGGGGAAACTAAAACTTTAAGATGTTTACTAACTTGCCAATAAAATGGAGCCAGACTCAATCACTGTCTGCTCAATATCAAAGCCCAAGCGCCTCAAAGCTTATACTAAAGCACAGTTCTATATCAGTCTTTGCTCATTCACAGCTTTTGCTAGTTAGAAGGCAAAGGGCAGGGTAAACTCACAAAGTGTTAGAGGACTGCCTTAGTTGCTTTTCTCATTGCTGAGACAAAACCTGAGAAAAGGTTTATTTAGCTCACAGTTCGTAGAGATTCTAGTCAGCTGAGTAGGCAGGGTGACACATGGCAGAGGAGAAAGTTTATGGCGGACAGAAGGTAGAAAAGCAACAAAGGACAGGAGACCATAGTTCTTTTTATCCCTTGTATCTTATTTAGGCTGGGTGGGTAGCACTCACGTCCTTAATTCTAGTGCCCTTGATCTTAGCACTGCACTATGAATCAATTCTAGCCTCACACACTCAAGACCCAGCCACCTCTGAAAAAGCCCCACTTATGACAGCCTAAGTGCTTGCGGGGACATCTAGACACAAGCCATAACAGTGGAAGTGGATTGGGCCTGAGTATTTATAAATTGTTATTATTCTCTAAATTCTTTTACATTTTAGTTTTACCTTAGGTAGTAACAACATACCACAATTTTAATTCCATTAAGTTACGGAATTTCATTAAATTAGTTTGAATCTATACAACTTACGTGTGCTTATTTTTGGTTTTCCTGATGCAAACACTTGAACTGAATGCTGATCTGCGTAACAACCAGTGAGTGTGTAATCTAAGATCCTGAAATGAAGCTAGGAAAGAGAGAAATGTAAGAGTTAAGGTGATTACTTGGTAAAATTGGTCACAATTTTTCTCCTTGCCACAATTCACACAGTTCACAATAGCAATCGCAAACATTATACTTCAACTGTGTGTACACACATGTGCAAATGTTTACAAATATGTACATATCAACTATATATTCTCTTTTATCCACAGACTATGTGATTGTGATATATTTCACATATTTCATATCCCAACTCTTATAGGCAAGCATGTACACTTCTGTGGAATACAAGAATACAATTATAAAAGAGAAACATCTGTTTATATCATAGTTGGGAGGGAATGACCTGCTTTATTTAGTTTTTCAGAAAAATAAAATGTAATTTTTACAGAACTTAACTTAGAGGTTACCTGTTTCTTCATGTAGAAAACTTTTCTAAAATGTAATTCATGGCTCCCGAATTTCATTGATAATGGGTCATCACGATAAATGCCAGTTACTATATTGTGCTGTAGTGAGTAGGCATTAACACCTTCTCTGCAGCATGGTACTAGGATGCCCTGAATCACAGTGACATTCACAGAAACCATGAAGAAGTCAATGTTTTACAGGCCGCCACTCGCCTTTTGCTGTGGTTCTTGTTATCTCTGCTCCTTAATACTCCTGATGCTGAAATATCCTTGCATCTTTTCTATCCTTTTTTGGGCAGTTACTGGGGATCAGACCGTAGGGCTTTGTACATGCTAGGCAAGCACCCTACTACTGAGCTATATCACTAGCCCTGTGCTTTTTTTCTTCTCTTCTCTGCAAATTTCCCCCAATTCATCTTTCTCCTTTAATTGCCAAATTAAATGATCTTATGTACAAAATGTAGTTTTTAGATCTCAACAATTTTTTCCTATTGTAGTTTTGTGTAATTCTGAATGCTAGACGACATATATGACAAGGGTGACTTCCACATAACTCATTCCATGTAAAATTCACTCAGTCCATTCAATGAACACAAGTATGTATTGTATACTTTTTATGAGACTGTAAGTGGTTAAGCAATAGACATGAACACATAAATCATAATATCTACCCTTGAAGGATGTACAGTGTAGTAACATCTTACATTCTGAAAAATTAGGAATTTTTATAGTAATCCTTGAAACAAAGCTAAAAGATATAATTGAAGCCAACATAAGAAAAAAAAGGAATTAAGAACAATGTACATTTGACTTTACTATCAATTCCCCTAACTGCCTTAACTGCCAAATTTAAATCTATCTTTTTTGACTTCTTTGAGAAAATAGGAGAAAGATGTGGAAGAACCAATGAGGGAAATTGAAGGAGTGATCCAGGAGGTAATAGGATGCTATCAAATATTCTTAGTTTCCACTGTCACTATTTCTTCTTTATAGATAACTCCTAAATCCTTATATACAGGTGATTTGTCTCGAGAACTAAGCTTTAGGTTTTTAGCTATGCATCTGACAATTATGCTGAGATATGATGCTATTACCAGTGCCACCTATATGACTCTCACTCCTTTTCAGCTCCATGCCGTATCACTACTTTTGTCAAAGTATGTTCATTTTCAGCCAATATTTATGTGCTAAATACTGGGGAAAATGCTGGGGATAAAATAATGAACGAATGAATGGAACTCACATAATTTCTGTCGTCTTTGAAGTTTGAATCTGGTTTATGTTATGTGTTTTTGAACACCATCTTTGACTTGTAACTTTTTTAGTTTCAGTATTAGAGGCCAAAGATGCACCTTCATCAGGGCTGTTAGTGTAATCCTTTTCTTTTTCTCCCTTCCTTTCTCTTTCCGCTGATACTATACTAGTTCAGCATCAACTTACTACCTTTCTTCTGGAGGTATAAAATGTTTTTGTTGTTGCTAGTTTTTTGTTTTTTTTTTTCAGTTACCTTCCTAGAATACAGTGCAAACTGAAGTTCACAAAATACCATGTTTTGAAAGATCATTCTGCTAATCAAAAAAGTGTATCTACCAAAGGAATAAAGCAGTCAAGCCCTCTACATTCCAAACCTAAATTATTTATCCAGCTTCATACGATAGTACTGTGTCTAGTGTGGGTTCTTACATGTGTCCTTAATGACCCGTCTTCATTCCTGAAAGTCATTTTTTTACTCCACTGTTAGTCAGTCTTTAAGGCTTCATGGTCATGCTTATCTAGGCCTAGCATTTGCTCCATCTTTCCTTGACCACTTTGCCCAAAAGAGCTCGCTCCTTCCATGAAATAACAAAAAGCAGTTAACAATGATCAATTGCTGACATGCCCAATGAAAATTCCTAGAGAGCAGACAGGTATTTTATGCTTTTTATATACACATCTTGAACTTGTAACTGAGAGCTGGCAGGTTAAGTTTGTGTGTTAGGGGCTGCCCTGGGACAGGCCGACGCGGAGCAGCAGCAGCCACCATGTCCAGCCCCAACAGCGGCCACCCAGCAACTCCAAGCCAGCTCTAGGTGTGGCTTCCCCATGGCATGAGCAGAGAGGTGAGGCGAGAACCAAACAAATGACGACACCATGGAGGAAGCCAACATGCGGGGTGAGGAGTTTTTGGGATTTGGGGTTTTTTCTGCACTTGTTTTTCTTTTCCCCTTTTAACTTTTCCCCCTTTCTTATCCTTCTTTTATTTCCTGTTTTTTTTCCCCTCTTGTTCATTCTTTTCTATAATTGTTTTTTAAAACTATTAAATTCCTTTCACTCCTCTGTAGGATCCCCTGTCCCACTTCTCTCTTCTTCTCATCTTCCATTAGTAAATTTTTCACATTTCACTTTTCTTGTTCTCTGGTTTCCCAGACCTTCCACCTTTGCTGGTATAACTATAAATCTTTACGAATCTTCAGACAGAGATCTGAATCTTTAGATTGTTAACTTCATACTATTGTTGTTGAATACTGTTCTATTACTGGTAGTGGAGCTAAAGCAGTACCAATTCAGTAGACATTACTGTAGGTCAATATTTAATTTGTCTGAGTGTTTTTACTGTAATTGTAGATCTTGGTGCTGATTTTACTACTATAAGCAAGCCAACATAGTTGTTGCTAATAATTAGTTCCCTTTAGATGCCAATATCTAGATTGCCTTTGCGTCTTTAACAATACTGTGGCCTGTTCCCAGCGAAATGGACTCTAGGCCAAACATGCTGTGACCACCCCTCCAAAATAAATGGAGGCAGTTGGATTTTGGGACAGTGGCAAAAGTCAACAGCCACGTCCACAGAGCATCACAGAAAGCAGACATTAACTGAAGAGGTTGCCATACTAGTAACAAAGCTTTCTATTATAATCAGCCTGCAAGCCTCAGCTCAACAAACAAATAATCAAACAAACAAACAAACAGAAACATGTTGCTAGCTGAGTTAAATAAAACAAGGCAAAGCATGAATGACCAGCACAGAAAATCAGCAGAGTATATAAAAAGGCACCAGAGAGTCAGGTGATTAAAAATTTTATCAAAAGTACGGGCAAGAGAAGTGACTAATGGGAAGAGTCAGAAACAGAAGATAAGACCTAGACCTAACATTATAATAACTGGGGAAAAACTGAAAGTTTTCCTTCTAATATCGGGAAAAGACAATGGTGTACACTGTTACCACACCTGTTCCCCATAGTACTCAAACCATTAGCAAGAACAATCAGGCAAGAAAAAGACATAAAAACTACATGTACAGGAAAGAAGTCAAATTACCATTATTTGCAGACAAGATGATCCTTTGCAAAAAATTCCACCAAATACTCCTAGCATTAATACCCCAATTCAGCAATGCACCATGATACAAAATCAACACAGAAAAATTAACAGTGTTTCTATACAACAATAATAAGCTTACTGAGAAGAAATTAGGAAAAAATACCGTTCATAATATCAAGAAAAATTAAATACTTAGGAATTAATGTAACCAAGGAAGTAAAACACCTCTACAATGAAAACTGTAGTACACTGAAAAAGATCAAAAAGGACATTAGGAAATGGAAAGATATCCCCCATTCCTGGAGAGGCAACACCAACATAATCAAAGGGGCTATACTTCCAAAATCCCAATACAAACAACAATATTCTTCACAGAACTAAAGACAACAATCCCAAAATTCCTATGGAAACAAAGAAGACCCAGAATAGCAAAAGCAATCTTGAGTAACAAGATCAAAGCAGGAGTTATACTACAAAGTACACTATAAAGCTACAAGGGTAAAAACAGCACGACATTGGCACAAAACAGACATGTGGCTCAATGAAACAGGATAGAGGATGCAGAAACAACCCTAGGCATATTCAGCTATTTGATCTTTGACAAATGGGCCAAAAACATACATTGGAGGAAAGATAACCTCTTTAATAAATGTTATTGGGAAAATTGGTTTTCCACATGTAGAAGACTGAATCTAGACTCCCTCTCTTACCATGTAAACTAAAATCAAAATATATCAAAGATCTGAACATGCAAACAGACAAACTTAATCGCTGGAAGATAAGTTAGGAAAAATTTTTGAAGTCATAATAGGCAACAATACTGTGAACAGAAACCCAATTGTACAAGAAATATTGCCAAGAACCAAAAATTGGCATCATATTAAATTAAATAGCTTCTGCACAGCAAGGGAAACAGCCAACAGAATGAAGACATGACCTACAGAATGGAAAAAAAATTATTGCTGCTACTTCTCAGATAAAGGACTAATATCTAGAATACATAAAGAATTAAAAAAAATTAGACCCCCTTCAAAATCAAAGACCCAATCAAAAATGGACATCTGAAATGAACAGACATTTCCCTGATGAAGAAGTACAAATGGCCAATAAATACACAAAAAAATGTTCATCATCTCTGGCCATTAGAGAAATGTAAATGAAAACCACACTAAGATTTTATTTTACTCTGGAAAGATTGGCTATCATCAATGAATCAAACAGTAACAAATGTTGAAGAGGCTACAGGGAAAATGGAATCCTTCTACATTATTGGAGGGAATATAAACTAGTACAACAACCACTTTGGAGATCAGTATGCAGATTCCTCAAAAAACTAAAATTAGTGCTGGGCATGGTGGCACATGTGTATAATCCCAGCAATTGGGAGGCTCAGGCACAAGGACTGCTGAGAGTTTGAGGCCAGCCTAGGCTATATAATGAGTTCAAAGCCAGCCTGAACTACATAGCAAGACCCTATCTCAAGCAAGCAAGCAGGCAAACAAACAAACAAAGAAACCAACCCACTAAAACTAGACATTCCGTTTGATGAGTTATTCCCCTTCTTGGTATCTTTCCAAGAGTTCAAGTCATCATACTACAGTGATGCATGTACACCCATGTTTATAGCAGCATAATTCAAAATAGCTAAATCTTGGAAGCAGCCTTTGTGCCCATCACCAGATAAGTGGATGAAGAAAATGTGGTCTTTACATACAATAGAGTACTACTCTGCCATAAAGACAGATGAACTTGAGTTATCTGTAGGAAAATGGATGCATCTGAGACCATAATTTTAAGTGAAATAAATGACACAGCTTCAATATCACATAGTTTTTCTTATAATGATACGCTCAAAATACAAATAAAGCACAAAATGAAAAACAGATAATAAGAAGTGGAGAGATAAATCTTTTCTCATCTGAGAAAGGGGATTAAGAGATGAAGGAATGAGAACGGGTATGGGGAAGGGGTTGGAAAAAAAATGAAGATGTGTCATGTACATATACCAACTCTCCATAAGGGATGTAATCACTATATATTGGAAACATGTATTAATCAAAAATAAATACTGAAAGAAAAATGTTTGGGTGTTACTCTTATACTTACTTCCTTTAGAATTTAAGTACAGAAATAGAAAATGAGTAGCACTAAACAAAAAGAATTACCTACATAAAAAGCACAGAATTAAAAAGAACTGCTGGACAATAGTAAAAATCGACTAGATATATGCAACCTAGAAACAAACAAAAGGGTTTTAACATAGTAAGTCAAATAAATATGTTTACCTTTATATATGCTGTACCTCCAATACAAATCTGGTCAAACAGCTGCTTGTCATGGCTCTTGGCTCCAAAAGTTATAGTTCCAGAAAGATTAATTTCCAGTGATTTTGGAAACTTTTGGCCTAGAAACACAAATGCACCAATCAACTTTTTTTAATTAGAGTGGACTACATCAAATAAAAGAAAAAAAAATAAAACCTTGCTCACCAATAATCCAGATCAGTAAGCCTTTCTCTCGAAAGACCTCAAGCTGGCCATAACTAACTTTGTATTCCAAATGTGTAATTGGGCCTCTTTTAAAAAGAAAAGAATAAAACAGAAAACAATGATCATAGATATAATAGTTTTAAAGGATTTAAGTCAAATCCTGCTAGTATTACTTAATACAAGACAGCATAAAAACAGATCTGTATTCAGGTTTGCAAAATGTAACATAAAAATGAAGATATATCTCAGAAAATACCAAACCTACATAAACATTTATGGTCATGACATACATCTTGTTTTTATTTCTAAGGGCAATTATATCACAGAGATATTAATATATTCACATAGGTTGACACATTAAACCTATGATTTTACTATATATTCAGGTACACATTGGAAAGAGCTATGCTGCACAAAAAAAATTAAAAAGTAGAATTGAGGAAGCAATCTTATGATGGTTGGCTAATTTATCAAGCAGCTGATACTTATTTAGCACTCATTTATATGCATAATCCAGAAAAACTGCTAAAAATAAAGCTGTAGTAAAATAATCTCCAAGGAACTTATATTGACTTAAGGTTATAATTTACTAGCAAACTGAACCAGAAAAATGACAGCAATTAATGGTAAGTAGATTTTTTTGGTTCGGTATCACCCTACATTTGAGTAACATAAAATTATTCAGATCTCAAATATCAGGTAGAAAAGACAATTTATTTCAGAGCAGGGGGAATATACTAGGGAAGGTAGAAATCATGGCATCATATTATTTATTCCTACCTATTGTAAAAAGGTATATGAGCTTCACAGAATTCAAAATTATTTTTTACACTTTCATGAAGTTTTAAATTAACTGCTATTTTTAGTTGTACTTCTTCTTCTTTCACTTGATAAAAACCCAAAATTGGTGGGACAGGGACCTGAAAACAAACAAATTTTTGTATAATTCTCAGGATACAGCATCTAAAATACCAACGGTCACTGACAGTCTTCTAGTAATATACACTAGCTAATATATATTACATTGTATATATTTATGCACACACATATCATCATCATATTCAGATCTGCCTTTATTGACTAATGAGTTCCTCCAGGTTGTTTTGATAATAGCAATGGTGGATAAATTAATTCCACAGGCAGAAGTTCTTTTATCTCTCCTGCTTCCAGGGAGGATAAAGGTGCCTTATAAAAGCAAGTCCAGGCTTTGCTCTTCTCTACAGTGTGCTCTTCCTCTAAGTTCTCCAACTCGTAACACAGAGTAACATAGACTCCAACTTGTAACACGGACTACACACGCTGATCACTGCTGTGCAGTTCCTCTTGTCCTTTTTGTACCCTGTGACTGTGCTCCCCCATCCCTTTCCTAACTCCCTAGCTCAACTGTAACTGCCCTAAGGGGAAACAATCTGTAGGTTGGGGTAAGGCATTCATTCCTACTGGTACATCTGAAGTAAGACAGAGACCACCTATAGTGCAGGTCCTACAGCTCTAAGATCACATGCAAGCAGGAAAGGCAGAAAAGAGACTGAGAAGCAGCGATGTGACAGTATGAATCTTGAGCATAGAGTAATTTTAATTTTCTGGCTCTAGCACCCTTGTGGCCTGGGTTCTATATCTTTTCATAAATGATAATGAGATTTCCTGTTGCCTTCTCGAAATAAACTATCTCTACTTAAGTAGGATTTCCTAACCTACTGACTGAAAACTAGGACAAGAGACAAGTGGTATGGTACAGTGGAAAACATGTTGGGTTCTGGGAATCTGCAAAATCTGGGTTCAAATCTAGGCTTTGCCATTTATTAGTTAAATGACCCTGAATAAATCATTAACTTCTCTGACACATTCTGCATCTGTAAAATGGGAGTAATACCTACCTTAAGGTTTATTAAAAGTACTAGAGAAAATATATGTGAAGTGCCCAGGATGTCTGATGCATAGCACTTATTCAATAAGCAATAAATAGTTATTGATAATTTATATTTGTAACTAAAATTTCCTGGAATTAGAATTATTTCACATTTATGGTTAAAACCATAACTAAATCATACTAGGATCTATCCTGTATCACAGACTTCTTGTTAGGGAGTATTAAAAAAAAAAACAAAAAAAAACCCCACTAACTTTGAGAACTATTAATGCAGTTATAAATACCAGAAGTAAGAGGCAGCCCATGCAAATAATTGAATCTTCATCTTCATTCAACAATTATTGCCTGGTAAATAACTCATGAGAACTTCTCATTTGGGCCAAGAGTAGAAACAATGTCCTCATGAACAGTATTTATAAATATATGTAGTATTTATAATGGTACTTATATATATGAAAGTCACCAAGTCTCAACTTTTCCAAGACCATTTACCTGGGAAGTGTAGTAACATAAGTTGAATGACTCTAAAGGTGGAGAGAATGGAAATTTGTACGGCCCACTAAATGCAGAATCATCCATTGCATCAGTGCTATTAGAAGTCAGAATGGCAGAGTCAAGAGAAGTCACACAAGGATGAACAAGAATATCTTGAAGTGGAGAGCCATTGGTGGGGAGACTCAAGCTGATGGTAACATTTGGCATGATTCCTTCCAAATCACACTGTAACAAAAGCAGAAATGGGTAGGACCAAGATCTTACAACATACCTTTGAGGTTTTTCTCAGTGTCTCAGTCATTCTCCCCAATTTAACTCACATTTTTCTCTAGGTTATTCTTTCCTAACAGTTTTATGCTCTTAAACACTCAAGCTAGTGACCAGAGAGATTTCACAGATCCTGTAGCTTATCCCTAAACTGCTTAAAAAATATTTAAAATCCACTCACTTCTCTCCATTTCTTTTGGAAGTACATTTGTAAAAGACTTTACAGTTTCTGTCACAGCCCTCTAAATGTGTCTAACCTTGCTTTCCTCTAGTCAATCCATTCCCCATCAATGCCAGAGCTATTTAAATGAACTATAATTTTTATTTATTATTTCATACTTAAATACTTCAGAAGTCATGTAGAAATGGTGAATATCTTCTTCCCCCTATGTGATTTGACTTAGTTTGTCAATAGATACTCATGAGAGTTGGGAAAAGAGAAAGGGAAGCTGTTATTCTTAGGGTATCATGGAAGCCAGATTCAACAGCTTCAGATCTATCCTTGAGCCTCTATTTCATGGCTATATGGCTAGCTATAGTACTTTTGGAGATCTTTCCTTGATCTTTTGCTTTGAGGTTGTAATAATGATGGCAGCTTTGCAGACTTCTCTGTGGACTGTGGATTCCAAACTGCTCTAATTTCTGAGATGAACCTGTGAGGGACTCTTGCTCCTGAAGGATGTCACCAAAATATTATTTTTGCTTCCTTATCACCTCTTATCCTTAAGTCCTAACATATTTATTCTGAAAAACTTCATAGTGGCCTTTTATGACCCCACCCTCCCAACAGGTCTTACTTATGTGTGCGTAGGTAGTCTGCATCATCCTTTGTATCTCAATTCTACCTTGACATTTATCCCTTAAAATGCTGGCTCAAACTGGCAAGTTGAGTCACGTAAGATTTACTGGTACTTTACTTTGCTAGAATTACAAAATATTTTAAGTTAGTGGAACACAAGAGGCTAAATGATTAGCTCCGGGGCTGGGGATTTAGCTCAGCGGCAAAAGCGCCTGCCTGGCAAGCGCAAGGTCGTGAGTTCGGTTCCCGGTACCGGAGAAAAACCAAAAAACCAAAAAAAAATAAATAAATAAATAAATAAATGATTAGCTCCAAGTGCACGATCATTAGACAGTCCACACCACACATTCACATTAAGTGTCCATCACCTTAGTATCTGTCTATTCCTGTTTCCCTCTTGAAGGTTGAAGTTCTTCGAAACCAAGGATTGTTTTATTTTTCTTCATATCTCTAGTGCTTACCACATTTAAGGCATTGGAAATACTAAAGAAGTGTTTGCTAAATTTGTATCTTTTTCTATTTATAGACCCTACTTTTTTTTTCAATACTAACCTGAAATGTCTACCACTTCAACATGTAAATTCAATAATGTATCAGCTATTCAATGTAAGCACTTAGAGAATAGGCAGGTGTTCTGAATAGACCGATTACTATTAGTGGTACACAGAGGTCTTCTATGATAATTATGCCAGTCACATTTGAAAATAAAAATGTCAAATAACCTTAGAAAAAACTTAAAAATATCAGTGCTTCAACTTTATTTATTTATTTTTTTTGGTACTGGGAATCAAACTCAGGACCTTGCACTTGCCAGGCAGGCACTGTGCCATTGAGCTAAATCCCTGGCCCAGTGCTTCAACTTTTAAACCACCCACTACTTCACTGTCTATAAGTACATCAGTGAAGTAAAATGTTTAGTTTGTTGATACATATTTATGGAGATAACAAAATAAGCCAAATTTCAATAGTAAGTACTATTAAAAAATTTTAAAATATTTAGTTTATGCTAAAAGATACACAGAAAATTAGTGTCAACTAAGGACTTCTATCCACTGGCTTCCAGTTCATCAGTGTTTTCTACTAGACAAACAATTATTTCCATTTGTAATACTTTCCATCATAAAACTCCTTTTAAATACTAAGCTCCCGAAGTACTTAAAAAATGCCTGGCTAGTAATCATACTACTTACATACAACATTAAGGAAACATTTAGTGCGTAAGTTAAGGGATACTTGATCTTACTTTTTTTTTTTAAAGAAATTTCTCTATCCTGAGACTCTTTATCAGAAATAATAATAGGAATCAATACAAAATTCCTATTAGCAAAAAACTAGGATTAGCCTATCAAGGAACTGAGAGATTTAAATATCATGATATTAATTAGCATTACATTATATATAACATATTCCATTTTTTGCCATGAGATAAACAAAAATGGTGACTTTTTCTACTTTAATTATACCAAACTTAAAAGAAAAAAAGAACTACTTTAAGACTTACAAATGACATAATCCATGACTTTACAGCTGTTTATAATACTTTTTCATAGAATGAATAACTAGCACATATTTTTAACCATTATAGGAGTAAATTTAACACAGGCAAAAGCCTGTAGATCATTTTAGTTATGATTAAAAAAAGAACAGAAAAGAACTGCCCAATTTCTCTGACAAGACTGTTGTAATTATCTATTTTTGAAATTTACTTTTATTCACAGGATTTATAATGGACATTCCATGTTGTCTGACATAAAAAAAAGTTTACATTAAAAGCACACAAAATAAAAGGAAGATAGAAAAACAGACATCTGAGAATATTATTAATATGTACTTCTAGAACATTTACTTGGAGGATTTTATTTTTGGTCACTATTCAACATGACATTAGTCATTGTTTTCTGAACAATTTCCACTGTTTTTTCAGATTTTTCAAACCTTAAATCCTATATTACCTCTTGATTTGTTTAAATAAAATAAAAGCTTTTCAAAATAATTTGAAGTATTATACTACAGGATGTGTCAATTTGAAATCTGACCCCTCTAGAGAAAATGGAAAATAGACAAGGTGATCTTAAAATATGTTTACAAATTCTCTAACAATCTTTTCTTTTTGTTTCTTATGACACCACTCTTTTCAAAAGGCGGGCCTAATTGCATAATAGGAGAATGTGCCCAGAATTAGTAACTTGCTTCCAACAAACAGGAAGTAGTGAAAGCAAGGCCATGTGACCTTCCAGTCTTTGTAATAAAAAGAACAGCTTCTGAGTCAATCTCCCCTCCACTCCTCTCATTCAGTCTGGGAAGCCAGTCACGAAGTGTGAAGATACACAAGTGGCTTGTTGAGAGGTCTATGCTGAGAGGATTTTGGTCTGTCTCCAGTAACCAGCACCAACATGCCTGCCACGTGACTGACTCATGGTGGGAACAGATCTTCCAGCCCGTCAAACCTTCAGGTCACTACAGTCCCAACCAAAATCTTGACTGTGATCTCACGAGAGACTAAGCTGGAAGTTCCCAGTTAAGCTGCTTCTCAGGCTCTGACCCACAGAAACCAGGAGACTAAAAATGCTTTAGAGTAATGGACAACTCATTATACAACAACAGATACAAAATAACTGGTAAAAAAAAAAGATAACATTATAAAATTTTACAATTCTACGTAATACCTAAAAACTGCTGCTCAGTTAAAAATTAAGAATATCATTTAGCAATATAAAATACAAGTAGCTAAATTTACTTCTCTCTGTATATGTTAAATGGTATGATTAAGCAAACATCTGAGAAAATCTCACCTTGCAAGTGACTGCTCCAACAACTTGCCACGTATCTGCTATGTCCTGTTTATCATACTGCATGGATTTTACCTTTTCAGTGATAGAAATGGAAACTTGTGGTTTTCCTTTGTATGTCCCAGATTTCCAGGCTGGCTGTTTTTGTGGCTGAGTCACAGAAGCAAAGTTAATGTTATCCAAGAAATTCTGTATGTTGGCATCCAATAAAGTACCAAATGGACAAGCCTGTAGAAGCAAGTCAGGCAACTGGCTTAATTTTGTATTTAGCTCACTGTCATTTTTTTGACCTAAGTACAGAAAATCCTGTATACCAAAAAGGAGCTGTAAGCCTTGTGAAATTCCACTAATGCTAATTAGTGGTGGACGAGGGGACAGAGTCTGTTCAACTAGTGGAACACTCGCATATATCATGCCATTCTTCAGAAATGCAACAACTGGCCAGAGTTCTTCACCTCCTATTGGAAGCCCATAGATAGATGTTTTATTGATGCGTGAACAACTGTCACGACATTCCATGAAATCTTTATCATCATCCAATAATCTAAGTTCAAAGAGTAGTGCTTTAAGAAAAGGACCATCTTCAGGAACAGGCACATAACTCACTCCATTGAAGATTTTAGCTCGCTTTTCAACAGTTGGATACCGTCTGCATTAGGGGAAAAAACATAAGTGAGCTTTCAAGTAAAATAGTAAGAGATGAATTAAAGCACAAGGCAAATGTTAACAATAATAAAACATGCAACAACAAACACACCCACAAAAGCCAATAACCAAGCAATATAAATTCTTACCAGAGTAACTGTTTCATACTTGGTATATTATCAAATTATTAAATATCATCTATTATTAGAAATGTCTAATTAAATTTAGTTATTTATTTTTTTAAATAGGCAGAATACACAATCCTAATTTAAAATTCTTGTTTCTTAACCATTTTGATTCCCTCTTGGTAGGCACGGTAGCTGTCAATTTTTACTTATAAAACAAATGGGAGCCGGGTATGGTGGCGCACACCTGTAATCCCAGCACTTGGGAGGCTGAGGCAGGAGGATGGTTGTGAGGTCAAGACCAGCCTGGGCTACAAAGTGAGCTCAAGGCCAGCCTGAACTGCACAGCGAGACTCTGTCTCAAAAAGACCAAAAAAAAAAAAGGAGACCTCATGGTACAGTACATGCTTAGTACGCCCCAGGCCCTGGGTTCAATACTCAGCATCAAAAATCAAATCAAATCAAATCAAATAGATTTTGGCAAAAAACAAGTCACCGGTTTAGCAAGAGTCAAAAACATACCTGGCTAAAACAATATTACTACTAATATTACACCACTGATAGTATTACTACTAATACTATGGTGCATGCCATATTACAACTAATACTATTACTACAGTATCTAGACAGCAAATCTTTAAACCAAAGTCTAAACCAAGTTCCACTGTGGAAAATAAGTAGTTAGATAGAGGAAAGATCATTTGCCTTATTAAATCCTAAATGATGGTCATTATCCTTTGCTGTATTAATTGATAATATCACAGTGTATATCTGTTTAGCACGAACAGCAGTCCCAAGAAGTCAGAAATCCAAAATAATAAAACTTTACTAACTCATTCATTAAAACACTACTATAGTGATAGATGAATTATTTGAGCCCAATTTGCTACCTCCATAGAAATGTTGAGAGCTCACCCAAGTATATCTAAATTTTTTCTTCTAAAATATTTTTTTCTGAGCATATTCACAAAACATTCTGAAAACTACCATGGCTTCCTCAAGGAACTTATTTTAGCAGTAAAAACTTCACCACTCTGAGATAATAAGATAAGTTATAGAACCACACACATAGAACAGTATGATGTTGGCACAAAAAGGTCAGAGTAATAGAACTGAGACAGATCAGTGTTTTTATTGGAGTGCAATAAGTATTATCAACAGCCCCATAAACAAGTAAGTAGAAGATATACTATTTGGAAGATAGGAAAACTGGCCCACAGTATAGAGAAAAACACTTCACACTTAAAACTACGTTCGTTTTTATCTGCTTCAATCTCACTTCCACTATGATACATCTCTCTTCTTTGGGAAAGACTGAATTGTTGACCAAAACCAAAACCAAAACCAACCTGTCAAAAGCCACTAAAAAGAAGTTTATTGCATTGTCAGTAGCATTTTAAAATGAGGTGCAGAGTTCTTCTCAGACATCTTTTTTTGTAAAATACGGTAAATTCTGAAAGTGGGACCAGATCACTTACACCAGCTAAGAAAAAAGTGAATGCAATTTTTCATAGTTCTATTTTCTTCATCAATTACGAACAGTAAACTATTATTTCTAGCAAATGACACATTGGTAAGATGGAAGTAACAGTGATACTGCTCAGCAAGGGTTTTTCAGAAGAATGAGTTAAATGCCCTTGAATGATTTCATCACTGAAACACATTTAGGGCTAAACACCTGTTCATCACCTCTGTATCAATCCTAAGTACCTGCAGTTAATTTTTGTTTTTGTTTTTGTCTGTTTGAGACAGGGTCTCACTATGCAGTTCAGGCTGGTCTTGAACTCACTTTATAGGCCAGGCTGGCCTCCGACTTGCAACCCATCCTCCTGCCTCAGCCTCCCAAGTGCTGGGATTACAGGCGTGAGCCACCACGACCGGCTTGCAGTTAATTTAAAAATAGACAGTACTAATAGCAGAAAACACACCTAGTAATTAACATGCACCAAGTGACAGCTCATTTAATTTTGCCAATACTGTTAAGGTACGGTTATTAACATTTCCACTCAACAGACAAATCAGAGGTTAGTGAACTTGCCCAAGATCACTCTGCTATTCGTGGCAGACACGAGATACAATGACTATGGGGATTTCGACTTGCGTTTACCTGGAGAATCTCACGGAGCCACAAAGTGGAGTTCCCGGTTCGTGGCGTATGAGCCACACCCCCCGCAGAGCCATGGTAAGCCGCTAAAGCATCAACGTATCTCTGAACTAAGGTCACTACGGAGCAACAACGTAGCTTGGCGTTTTCAGACGAACTGTTACCATAAGCCCTAAGATGTAATCACCGGCGGGCTCATCGGAGAAGGTTGGGCCTATGGGAAGGTGACCAAAATTTCTCAATCCTTCCTGGTCAACACATACCTCCCAGTGTTCTAAGAATTCGCCACTTACATCCCGAGAACACTGTACTTTCTTCCTCTAATTCTACTTCCGGGGTGGTGGCCCACAAGGATCAAGCTTCCGCAAACGCCCGAACAACGAGTTTCTCTACTCTTCTAGCAGTGCTCGCTCCTCTCGCCCTCCCCTCCCTCGGCCTCGCCGGCGCGCGCAGTTCCACTTCCGGCGTGTGAGGCGGTGACAATGGGAGCGACGCGGGCGGCGCCGGGAGGCAGCTGACAGGCGTCTGCGGCTTTGCTTCATGGCCGCTCTCCTGCCCCGCCTGCGCTCTGTGAGAACAGGGGAACCCGCGGCGGCCGTCCGAGCCGGGACCTGTGCGCGGCGCCGGTGAGGCGCAGCATGTGAAGCGGAGACGGCGTCCCGTGCCGGGCGAGCCTCTCAGCCGGCCGGGATGGCGACGACGGCCGAGCTCTTCGAGGTGGGTCGCGGGGCTCCCCGGCGAGCGGCAGGCCCTGGGCCGGCGGTGGCGAGCGATCGGCGCG